CCACCACCACCACCGCCACCACCTCCACTATTTTCATTATTGTTCCCAAAGCCAAAACCTCCACCATATCCCCCTGCATCCCCTCCACCACCACCGCCACCTCCTCCGCCCCCTGCACCACCTCCACCACCACGTCCACCACCAATATTACTACCACCTCCCCCCAAGCCTCCCCCACCATTCACATCTCCACAGCCACAGCAATCATTTTCGGTACCAGCAGCGTTACACTTATTGTCATATTGAAGTCTATTTCCACTCCCAACTCCGGCGCCATTGCTCTCTCCCGGCCTACAATTAATTTTACTCTCATTCAACATATTATCTCTAATCTTGGGCATGAGGCCACTACTCTTATACGATAATATAGACGACACAAGGAGGAGCACATGAAACATGAAAAATATTTCCTTCATGTTTGATGCTCTCAGAAAGCTAAAAGTACATATATTCATTTTACTTTGGAAACCTAATATCCATTTATATGGAGCACTTTAGCTAGAAGACAGACTTGGAGCAGTTGTATTTCAATGAAATACAAGCAAATGTGTTGCATGCATAGCCCCATGTGAATCTGTAAGGTGATATCTGTAACTCTCTCGTGAGCAGTCTCAGCACTGACTTCAGCATATTTGTAGACAGACATTAATTTATGCATGGACAGAGGGTCCTCCCGTCCGTGAATCTGATGGAAATCAGACCAGAACATTTACTGTTCCAATGTGGAATAGGCCCTACATTTCGGTCCATTAGAATTCTATTGGTACCTTATAATGTACTTTTGAATTTTATCAAGACAAAAAAAACTTTTGGATTTCTATTGAACTACATGGAGAGGAAACAAAGTCCACACGTACATTGATTATTAATTTGGACCTTTCATACAAACTCTTTACTATGCTTACTACTCTCCTCGAATTTCAATCCATTCAGGTTTTTAAACAAAATATGTCAAAAGATAATAACAACCAAACACATAGCTAGTAAACTTCAATGATTGTATATTCAATTAGGATTCTAGAGCATTTAAAAATTCGGGTATATTTAATTTGAATGTATATAAATTTTAAAAGAGTTTATTGTTGCTTCGATTCAGCTGCACCAAAATAGATTCAGCTGCATCCTCAACTTGTGATACTCGCAAGTGCACGAGCCGTTTGGTAGTATAGCATATGTAAGTGCGAGGTCGATCCCACGAGGATTGGTGATTGAATGATCCAATTCATTTTCCCTACACAAAACAGAAATGAAAAAGAAAATAAATAAAACAAGAAAAAAAGAAATAACTCAAGCAAATAAGTTCCCAAGTTCAATTAGATTAACGGATTGATTCTAGCTAAAGTATGATTAAGCCATGGTGTTTGGTCATAACCTTGTGTTCCTAATTCCCTAATTTGATCATTTGTTGTCTAACCTAAAACTAAGCATTAGGAACCCATTAAGCATAGAAGAACAATTTAAACAACCAAGCATGTATCTAATCCCTGTTGTCGAATGTCCATACATACTCTTCTTATTCATAGTTCAATTCGAATTAAAGCATGGTGTATACTCTTAATTCAAACCAAGATAGCTAACATACAAGCCTAAATGGTGATCAATCATTCAAACTAGCATATTAACTTATAAGCATAATGAATAAGAACAAAAACCATAATTGAAACTTGGAAACTAATCAAACTTGAAAAACTAAAGAAAAGAATTTACATAACAATGAAAATTAAAGTAGAACTTGGAAAAACTTAAGGAGAATTTCAGCACAAAGATCTCATTATAACAATTGAAAACTAGAAAGAGAAACTAAGAGAATTCGAGGGAGAGAAGGGAAGGGAGCTCTAGAGAAGTGTTTCAGAGCTCCCCCCCTTGGGGTGTGTTTACAAGCATAGAGAACTTCCCTATTTATAGGCCTAGGGGAAGTGAAAAATCTGAATTCAAAATGGCTAATGCATACAACACTTGT